TCAAACTACTTGCACCTGTCTCCTTATCTCAGGCTCCACTTTTGTGTGTGTGCTTCCTAAAGAGGTTGCACAACACCAGGTGTGTCAGGGAGCCCAAGAGATTGGACTGCCAGAGAGACTCATAAGAATTGGCAGCCTTAGCTGTGTTGGTTTTTTATTAATTTCAGTGTACGAGTTTTAAGGCAGAGAGACTGGCAGCTCTCTATCCCTTTCTTGGTGCATTTTGGCTGAGATTTAGCAGAAGAGTTCTCCAAGCAATACCTGAAGGAATGTCATGTATGCAAAGAGAGGGCTGGGCCATTTTACACATTTATACCATAAATAATATTTTTAAGGAACCGTAACCCTATAAACCCATGATTCCAGATTGATAGCCATAAGCAGGTTTGGACAGAGTGATGTCTAAACACCTATACAAAAGGTGTTCTATTAAGAACTTTCCCCTAACAAATGCCATTAGTGTATCAGGTGTTTATTGTTGTTGGTAGAGGTTCTCACTACGCAGTTCAGACTTGGAGTGATCCTCTCCTATCTCAGCCTCCCCAGTGCTAGGATTATAGGCATGCACCACCATGCCTGGCTTTGGGGCTGGGTTCCAAGGCCTGCAGGGCATGGGACAGCACGGGACCTTGTGCTCGCCAGGCAGGTGCTTAGACCACCAAGCTATCTCAGCCCTAGTAATGTTTATAAGAATCTTTTGTCAGTAATACCCATAAGAAACAAAGATAGTAAGAAACAAAAGATAGTAAACAGGGGCTCAGGAGATAGCCTGGTGGTCTAATTTTCTGCCTGGCAAGGGCAAGGATCCAGGTTTGATCCCTGGTACCACATGGCATGCTGTGCCCAGCCAGCCATCAAAACCGATCATGGTGGTACACACCTTTAATCCCAGCCCTGAGGAGGCTGAGACAGAAGGATCACTATGAGTCTGAGCTCCATAGCAAGATCCTGTATCAAATAAATTTTGAAAAAAAATCTTGAAAAACAAATTTAAAATGCAAAAGATAGTTAAAAAAAAAAAAGAAGTGTAAAGATAACAAACAAAATATAGTAAGCGAGAGTAGATAGAAAGAAGAAACAAAAGATAGTAAAATATGTTCAAATGCCCTCTACAAAAGTAAATAATTACAAAAAAAAAATAATTCTTTTTCCTTGGAAGTATGCAAACTTTCAAAAACACGGCCATCCTCTGGAATTTTCAGATGGGCTTAGAGTTCATGTAGTCCTCTTGCCCTGCCTTTTCTGGCTTTAGTAGATTTCCTGGCTGTGCTGAGCACCAGCACTGCGATCTTGACCAGGTTTCTTGGTGTCTCTGGACCTCTCACTGCTTCAGGAAGAGGTAAATATTGACTCTCCTTCCACCAATAAGTGAGGTAACGTCAGTGATGTGCAGGGTGTGGCGCAGGAGGAGGATTTCCGTGTTGCTCTTGCGTTTCTCCTCCTTTCCTTGTTTTGATGATAGCTGTCCAGCAAGAGGACTCTTGGTGTCTTGCTTTTGCCATCAGAGTTTTTCTTTACACAGTTAAAGGAAGACTTTGTCAGTGGAAAGAAAATTCACACAGAAAATGCAAACAAGGGCTGTGTCCAGATAAACACACTGAAGCGTTGGAGTCTTAGCCATCCAATAGTAAATATTTTATTCCAGAAGGGAAGGCCATGCTACTGGGAATGCATCCGAGATTACTGGATGTGTTCACAAGTACCACCCACTTCAGAAAGCAGAAAAGGCGTGTGGCTCCGAGTGTGGATACTCAATTAATTAGATGAGTTTAAATTTAAACTCTGCTAGATACATGATTTTCAAAAAGTCAGCCAGTTTTACTAAGATTTAGTTTTTTCATCAGTAAAATAGAGATGATGATAATAATGGCAGATATCTTGGCAAGTTTATGGGAGAATTAGGTGAGAGAATATACAAAAACTGCTTAATTCAGGGCCGGCATATAGAGAATACCCAAGAGTTAATTAGTATTTAATAATAATAATATCCTTCCCTGAGCAAAAGTGTACACCAGATATTATAATTTAGAACTGTCATCTTTCCAAAGAAAACAACTTCGGCTGTATTAAATTTCTGTATTCCCTGTTTTCTATTTTACTGATTCCATTATGTGATTTTCACTTTATTGGTTTTTTATTTCCTTACTTCTTATTTTGGGTTAAATTTGTGCTTTGTTCCTTTTAGCTTCTTCAGACAAAAAGTTTTATCACTACTTTAAACCTTTCTTCTTGTCTTATGCAGAGAATTAAGACTAAATTTAGCTGTACGTATTGTTAGGTGCATCCTACCAGTTCTGATGAATAGTTTTATTCATTCTGAAATATTTTCTATTACCTCTTAGAATTTCCTCTTTAAAATTTTAAGAGGTGATAGAAAACATTTGTTGGGTTTCTTAGAAGTATGTTAGTCTGTTACAAGTATGCTATTTAAATCCTGAACATTGAGGGCCTTTCTAAATATTTTGTTGTTGCTTATATTTAGTTTGATTCCATCATGGTCAGAGAAGATACTTTGGATAGTCTCCCTATTAAAACGTTAGTTAAACTTATTGTCTGACATCTTTACAACTTGCTGCTCCATTCTGGATTCAGTCTTATAGGAGGTCATAAATTTGTGTTTTCAACCATGGAAAAACCTTAAAGATCATTCTTAAAATGCTCTCTAAGTTATCAAGACTGGAGTATAATCCAGTGTTTAGTGCAATGTGTTAATTTAGCTAAAGGAAAAGAAGTTAAGTATCAACACATTGTTTACTCATGATTGAATTAAGCAGTCACAAGAAACAAGGTTGGTATATAAAAACCAATTGTATTTCTATGGTCTATTAGCAAATTGGCCAAAAAGTTAGGTTCTAAAATTTATTGTAAATGTGTAAAATAATAGAAATAATTTAACAAAAAATTTGAGACTTGTGAAATGCAAATTGTAAAACATTATGAAAGAAAGTAGAAAAAACCTAAATAAATGGAAATATACCATGTAAATAGGTTGAAAAACTCAGTATTATTCTTTCAAAACAAGATTTTTAGATCCAATGTAACATAGCCAATAAATTCTCAGTAACCTTTTCAAATAGAAAATGATAAATAAATCTAAAATCTGTATAAAATGTAAAAATTCAAATATACCTTTAATAAAGCCAAAGTTGAAAGACTTCTTTTTGTAGTTTTGAAGCTCACTGTTAATCTGTAGTAATCAAAATATAGTAGCTTTGGTATAAGAATGAGCAAATGTATTATTGAAAAAACTGGACCACGGGAGCGTCTAGCTTTGTATGGACCCACACACCGGTGCTGTCATTGGGATGTGGCTTGTCTGCCAAGAGTTTGTGCATGGATAGCGCATTGGTGGCTTAATCACTAGAACAGCCATGTTGGGCAACAGTGTGGAGCTCAGTGAGCAGGTTGTCCCTCTGGTCATTTGGAGTGCTAGCTTCAGAAGACATTGAGGTGATTTCTGTGGGCCTTTGAATCAGTTCTTGCAAGAGTAAGCTGTCCCGAGAGGAAGGCCCGCCTTGGCGTTGCCCTCTGGCATGCTGTTTCAAGGCGTGATCTCTTCCTCTCATGCATGTTTCCATAACTGTAAGCTCCCATTTCTTCATTATGAAGTTACCTAGCCTTAGATATTTCATTATAATAGTAGGAAATGGATCACTGCACCATGATGAGTGATTTTTGGCAAGGTGACATAGCATTTCGAAGAGGAGAGTCTTTAATAAATGGTTCTGGGACAAGTTAATAAACATTACACGAAGAAAATAACTTCAGCTCCACCAACAACACAGAAACCAATTTAGGATGGATCACAGACGAAATGTAAAAACTGGGCCTATAAAAATCTAGAAGGAAACAGAAAAGTATTTTTGCTTTAGGCAAGGATTTTTTTAGGATACAGAAAGCACTGGTACAAATAATTAAGACTTCTGCTTCACAACAATCTAAACTTTTGCTAATCAACAAATATCCACATAAGCAAGTCTATATAAAGAGCATGAGGTGGTTGTGCATTGTGCTTAATGCTTCTCTCCAAGTCGGAGAATAGAAAAGGTCCAGGGTGTTGCTCAGTGGTAGAGTGCCTGCTTAATAGGAGGCAGCAGTGAAGAGCTATGGAAAAGATTATGTTGATTTTTTTTAATTTTAATTATACTATAAATATTGACAACAGTGTATTTGAAAGAAATATTTCCTTAGGGAATTGCTAATTGTAGAAAATTAGCAGTGTGGTCCATCTAGACAACATTACTAAAAATCAGGAAAACATGATTTATTCTTAGATAAAAAAGATAGTCCTGAAGAAAGCCTCAGTTGTACGATCCAGCAGCCTGCGATCGCAGTGGAGACGGCCAGCCTGCAGCCCCAGCTGTGAGACCTAAAGAAAGCAGGACGCAGAAATGCGCCTCTGTCAGCCTGATCCCAACCTAATCTTTGTGGTCAGGCCTGTGGCCTAAATCCATTGAAGACGTGCACATTCCGTGTCCCTGCTGTCGCTGCGGGCTGGCCTGCGCAGTGAGCAATAAGCTCGTGTATTATAATTCCAGGTGGAAGATATGTGCGTCGGAAGTGAAGCCGACAGGCAGGGCTCTGCGTCTGGCGCCAAGCAGACTGAAGCCTATATAAACTGACAGGTGCATTTTTAGGGAAGGAAACCCATAAGGTTTTTCACTTAGTAGGTGACAGTATGTCCCAAGATAACACAAGCGTAAGGGGATGCAACGAGCCTGGTTGTTAAAAGCTTGCAGTTTCAAATTGAGTTTGTTCATAGGCTGGAGGACTATGGAAATCTAGTGTGGCGTGCTGAAATAAATTAGCATATTAAGTGAGTTTGTACATGCAAGCTTGGGCGCACTTTGAACTTAATTTTTTTTTCCTCCTGACAGAACAATAATTCTTAAACTTTGTGTTGGAACTCCTTGTTGGAAATTGTATTATTTTGATGATTATCCCAAGATGTAATTATTAAATTGATGGAGATCTTTCTTCTGTCCTATCTCTTTTTTCAGAATTACTGATTTAGGCAACATCAAAAGAAGACTTTATTTATCAACAGTCCATAAGGAACTGTCCTCAACTCCTCTTCATGCAAAAATCCCACTCTTCATGATCAGGCGCAAAATTGTGAGTATCCATGAATGTTGCATAAAGTATTAAGTTCAAAACAACAAATAGTAATTATAGGCTGATATGCGAGACACTTTGTTAAGTACCGTAGTGGCATGAAAAAAAATGAATAAAAGCCATGTCCTTCTTCCTCTCACTTGAAATTTACCAGGTGGATGAATATATTATTTAAACACTTTTAATGTCATGAAAACTGTGATAGGAAGCGACATGCAGAGAGAAGGCGCTGTTATTGTTGAAAGGGCAAGACATTCATCTGATTGCGGATGAGCAAAGGTTTCCTAGAGGGGAGGCACTCCGCGTGGATTTGGAGAGATGGTAAGGAGATAGGAGACGGGCACCCCAAGCAGAAGGACCAATGTGGTAAAATCTTGAAGGTGGTGTCTTTTGCTTGTTGAGACAAAATGCTCAGCACCAAAGAAGGAAGAACACAGTTCAAGCCCACACTTTCAGTCCATTGTCCAGGGCAGAGTGGCGCGGCAGAGGAGAGACTGCTCACTGTGGGCAGGAGGCAGCGAAGCCAGCAGCGGGCCTCTTTCGGGCCCTCCTGTCTCACCCGTGCTCCCCACCCTGAGGGCAGGGAGTGTCGCACCCATAATCCTAGTGTTGCACCGTGGTCAGCCCGAGTGCACACATCCTATATCCAGCTGGCTCCGCAAAAGCCCCTCCTTGACCACATGAGGCATGGGATGGCCACCTAGATGCGAGCCATTGCAGCCAGAAAATGCTGCGTCTTTAGAGAACAGACTGAAGAATCACTGTTGCCAGGTTTAAGAACAGCCCGAGAAACACCAGTCCTACAGCACAGCAGCCTGACGCAGGCAGGGCCTTTGGAGACTACTGTGGAGCACCCAAAGGCCCTACGCTGGGCTTCGCAAGATAAGGTCGCTGCTGCGCTGTGTCCATACCTCTTCTGAGTTCTGCCTGCTGCAGTAGGTACCTGGAAGTGTATTTTAAGTTGACTTGCTTCTTTCTGGATGAAATTTGATTTAAAACTGTGTGTTGCACTTACAGATGGAAAATATATACTAATTAAAAAGTCATAAAACAAAAATTCCATTTAATTTTTTTCTATGTATTTAGTGCAGGGTCTACAGGATATCACTATGTACACTGGACTCATAGTGATCCTCCTGTTTTCAGCCTCCCAAGCACTGGGATTAGAGTGCCACCATGCCCAGCCTCAGTGACTGTCTCAGCGCACCCCAGGAGCAGGGCTGGCACACCTTCTGGTGCCAGGGATCGAACCCCAGCCCCTGCATTCTGCCTAAGCAGGTGCTTTAGTCTGCTGAGCTATCTGACCAGCCCTAAGTTTATTTTGACTCCTTTAAAATTCCATTATTTCTGCATTTCCAGGTTTTTTTCAATTATTTTTATGTTTATTTCATCACATCTGGAAAAATATATAGTAGATAATATTTTTGAAATTGATTTATTAAAACCTTTTGGTCCCTATAATAATGAAAAAAATGCATAAAATACAAAAATATACATAAAAGAAAACATTTTTTAGAATATTTAAATTTTTTCCATAATTTTATTGAGAGACAAATAGCAATGAGACAGTTTCAAATCTAATTGGTAGGATAGTTTCAATAATTAACACATTGCATACTCTCTTCCTAGTGGTTATTTGCTATACAAGATGCAGACATGATATCCTATTTACAAACACTATTAGAACAAATCCCTCTATTCATTAAGGGAATGTAACTATATATCTATCCTAACCATTTTGAATGCACAGATACAAAATGGACATTCATTTATATATCCCCTTTTTTGTTTAGTTCCACCATTTGAATATTATAGGTGTGTTAACTCAACAAAATATTCTAAAAGAGTCCAGTAATCCATAATAGTATTGGGTCTTCCGCTTGACTGGCAGTGTCAGAAATTGTTGACCTGAGTCCCCTACAGGATCTACAATCTGAAGTGCAGGATCTCAGGATAAATCCTGAGGGGATTTCACTGACCTTATCAGACCCAAAAGCTACAACTCTTGTTGCATAGGTCTTGCTTTATCTTGGTCTTAACCACCCAGCAGAAAAGCATAAAAATGAAATACAAGAAGTAAAGCCATGTTGTTATGTTAAGAAAGCAATATTTTGACATCCAGTTAGATATAGTTTTCTTGTCCAAGGCCCTGTCTGAGGCCTGCTCTTTTCAGAGAGTTTATCAAGGATTAGCTACATGTAGAAGTATTTTCCCTGACATAATTAGAATTGAAAGGAAATTGGTAAAAGGAAATTCGTCTGTGATCTGGAGTTACTAGATGCCACTGTGTCCCATCTAAAGTCACTTCACAAATGGTACTTGTTCCACACTTTGGAAACCTCGATAGCGGAGAAGAGGATCTCGTTAGCATTTTGGACCAGGGAAGGAACACGCTCAAGAGTGTTCTGGCAGTGATGATTTGGAGGGATAAAGACTGAAGATGCAAAGACAGCTTGGAGCCAGTGAGGACTGGTGGGAGCAGAAAGGGATGGATGTGACTGACGTAGGGAACGTCCAGCGAGAGGCGCCGTCACATTTGTCACCAGAACCTGCCCTCATATGTGGTGCGTGCTTGGAGCACAAGGCAGAGTGTCTGGATTTAGGTACTTACAAGACTAGAATAGAAAGGGATTTTGGCTGACAACTCGTTCTATATTGTTGTTTAATATGTAGCACACAAACACTATGAAGGGATTAAGAACGCAGAAGCTGCGTTCCGACTCTTCCTCCTTTACAAATTCTTTTGTTTGTTTCCTCGTCTAGAAGATGCAGCTAGTATGAAGTGAATGTGAGGGTTTACACGAGTTAGACTGTAGGCGTTTAGAACAGCGCCCCCTAGAGCAAATGGGAGGGAAGGGCCTCGTTTACTCATGCTTTGGACTCACTCTTCAGGCGGTCTGTGGCTTCCCTGCAGTAGATTAGATGCAGGGAGCAGCCCATCTTGCTACTCAGGATTTAACAGCCCTCCTGGCTTCTGCGCACTGCACCTCTGTCACCTGCTTGCTTGCCTGCCTTCCTCGTTCAGCCACAAGCTGCCTGGCTCCGCTCTTATCCCAGCCCTGTCTGTACACAGCACACACTAGGTGCTTAGTAAATGTTTGCTTAACCAATTGGTAAGTTTTAATGTAACAGCAGACATAGATAAAATAATGACTTTTCATGACCAAATTACGCTTTCTAAGTGTGCTTGACTGAGTCCACAAACGTCCAGGAGGATTCATTCAAATATTGAGAAAAATTGGCTCTCCTCTGTGTGCTCCTGGTCTGACAGGCACACCCAGCACAGAGCCTGTCCGTCCCACTGCACATGCTGCTATGTGTGCACCCTGCTGACAATGCCGTTGTGTGTTAGGGGCACATTCTGTGGAAAGCGTGAGCACTTGCCCGCCTGCCCAGCCATTCCAGAGGCCGCCTGGTGCTGCTGTGGCCCGGGACTCCAGCTTTCTGCTGTTTACCAAAGCAGTCTTCCCTACTTTCTGTCTGTTTGCAACTGGCAGATATTTTTGTGGTAATGAAAAACCTCAGAACAACACCTGAAAAGACATCAGCTGACATTTCTAAATCAGGAGTTTCATACAGAATTGCTGAAAAAACTCGATTTGTCACCGTTGCGCCTGCTTTCTTGCACAGCCAGTTGGCCTCGTGGCAGCTCTGCACTGCTAGGAGGCTGAGTACTGTAGCGGGAGCTGGAGTCCTCCCCACCGCGGGGTGTCAGGGTGTCGGGCAGGGCCTCTGGGCCCCTGGGCATCAGCCTGACTCAGAAGATAATAGCAAGATTGCCGATTTTTCCTTGTTTTGTTTTGGCTTTGCTTAATGGGGCAGGGGGAGGGGCTGACTAAAGCCTTAAGGTAGCCAGAGACAAAAAGTAAAGTTGATATTCATATAGCCTACCACTGTGAATATTTAGACGTAGGCTACTTTCTGTCCAAATCATCTGTAAATGTTAAATTTTCATGTTACTCTTTATTATGAAGACTCACTTGAGCATATACATTATAGCTGTTTATATTTTTACCTTGAGTTTTCAGTGACAAGAACAACTCTAAAACTTAATAACAATTGGATTAAAAGTAAAATAGTCACTCCAGATGTAGTGGCATCAGTTTGACTTCTCTAATATAACTTCTGTTAGTTGATGATGGGGTCAGATAAGCATCAGTGTCCTGTTGCCAGTGGATATAGAAATTACAGTAAATCCTATTTAAATAAGTTTGGTTATGAGGTGCCATTCAGAATATATTATTCATTGGAGATATAAAAAAGTGATATGATAAATTGCAATGCCAAGATCTCTTACTAACGTTTAAAATCTGCATGCCCAGGGTTTGCCATTTAAATGGACAAAGCTACGTTTCAGGACTTGCATCTTCTTGGACCACAACTCTAATGGTGTTACAAACTGGAGGTCTGAAATAATGTTCTTAGAACTTCTTAACGATCCAATTTGTCACTCTCCTCAAAGATCCTGTTTTCCGTGCAGCCATGGTTTGGAAATGTGTGCTTTTTCGCAGCATCACTGAATGAGGCAGGGATCGAGGAGGAGGCAGGCAGATTTATTCAGATACGAAGTCACTTCGAGATACACACGAAGTGTCAGAGAGCATCTCTTAATAAAACTATCTTAACCGAGAATACACCATAATTTTATGGCACTCACTTGTCAGTAGTATGTGTTTCTTTTCATCTGTGCAAATATAAATTTTAAATATATGTTTTTCTGTCCCTATCCACCTAATCTGAACGTTGTGAAATGTGGTCACTGAACATGTTTGGGAAGGGAGAGCTTCCCATGGCTTCCTCTGCTGGCCTGCAGAGCTCTAGTACACACAGCTAATTCAAGGGAAATTTGCCGAAAAACACACGATCGTCCCGCTTTGGAGTCGCCCTATTTGCAAATCGTATGAACAGTCAAGCTATTTCTGAGCGAAGGTGTGGCATGTGGAGCTGGAAGGTTGGCGTTCTGCTCCTGGTTCTGTGGCTGCCCGACTGCGGGCCCTCGG